AGGTAGGTAGGTAGCTAGGTAGGTAGCTAGGTAGGTAGGTAGGTAGGTAGGTAGGTAGGTAGGTAGGTAGGTATGTATGTATGTATGTAGTTGGAGTAGCAGTTGCAGTAGCAGTAGTAGTAGTAGTAGTAGTAGTAGTAGTAGCAGTAGCCGTAGCAGTAGCAGTAGCAGTGGCAGTGGCAGTAGCAGTAGCTCGAGTACTACTAGTAGTAGAACTAGCAGTGGTCGTGGTAGCATCAGTGGTGGTGGCGGTTGTTGCTGCAGTTGTGTTACTCAGTGTTGTTGTAGTCATCATGGTCATCGTTGTCCGAGTTGCAGTCGTAGTCGTCGCTATAGAGTCCGCGGTGGTGGTGGTGGTGGAGATTTTGGTGGTGGTGCTGGTAGAATGCGTCTACATGCAGAAGAATGAAGCCAACTAGCAATAGAACTACTAGTGCTGTCGTCTACTCCATTGTTGCAGCTCGTTACATTACCGTTGGTTTGATCACTTTCACTCCTCTTGTCAAACGATTTTTGGCAGGTAAAAGCTGGTGGCGGGCATCGCGCGCGGCCATCGTCCGCGGCCGTCAGCATCGGACCGGTCCTCATGCTTGAGCTTCAGAGCTAATGGGCTTTATCATTGCGGGGTCTTTGTTCCAGGATTTGAAGCTAAGGGTGTGGGGATGTTGCGGGATTTGGAGTTTCGGGCATCGTGGGTGTAGCACTGAAAGACTTTCTACTTGAGGCTCTGGGTTCTTTGGTTGCAAAGGGCATTTGATTCGATTGTTTTCCGGCTACAGCAACGCCGCGGCTCCTGCTTGCTGGCAGCAGTCCAGAAGTGATGAGCTGATAGCGCTGGAAATATCCTGAATGGAACAATGCTTCTTCAAAATGCCGCCCCCCCGCCTGGAGATACTTGTGGGATGTAGGCCTGACCAGCACATCCAGCAATAAGAAACAGGCGTCGGCAGTAGTTGTTCTTATTGTTTTCGGGGTTATTGTGTTTTATGATCAGGGTGCATGAGTCGCATGCTCGATCGTGCGAGAGTTGCACTACGACCATGGTAGCCATGTTAGCACGAGCAGCGACGGCATCAATCATCCGGAGTGTGATGTCTCAAACATTCAGCGTCCATACAGTTGCGCATGCTCGCGCTCTACGTGTCTTGATCCTCTGTGTGTGTGTGTTCGTAGGCAACTGCTTGACCGAATGTACACATGTACGTGTGCTTGTGTATATATCTACATTACCATGATCGTGCCTATTGCTATTGTTACCAGTATTATGATTGGCGCTACCGACATCGTTGCCATTGTCCTCTCATTCTCATTGCTACGATCACTATGAGTATAATTAAGGCATATCAACTTTTTATTTTTTATCATTACGATCAACAGTACGGTTCCTGGTATAGTAACCTATCTGTATACCTACATACCTACTTACGTACATACCTATCGGTCTATCAGTCCAATTGTATGTGTGTGTGTGCGTCTCTCTCTCTTTCTCTCTCATTCTCTCTCTGTGCGAGGCTATGCATGTGTGTATATATACATACACACAGCTGCGTATGTGTTTAACTTTCTGTTTGTAAATGCATGATACCAGTAGCTGCAGTATATGTGCATTAATCTGCATATGTGTCTATACATATATGCACGCATGCATAGATACATACGTTACATGCAAACGTAGATACTTGCGTATTTACATATCTAGCTATCTACATAGACGTATGTGTTATATGTACTTTTTGCACATATGCATCTAGCTCAGGATGGACTTGACTGCTCCGGTACGCCGCTGTGCCAGGGCCCGTGTACAGCTTTGCTTGGACCTTCGAACAACAACAATCGCTGCTTACCTTACGGCTTAGGGTTAGTGTTACATGATGCTTGTGCTTCTTCGGGCCCCAAAATCAGAAACCCTAAGCACCTCGCTGTCGAAATGATGTGCGTACTTCCATGTGGCTCGGATGTCCTGAAGTCATCAAGCAAAGCTATGGATCAACTTGGACCTTTAGATTGTGACACCGCTCTAAGTTTCCCGGAAATAAACGGGTGTACACATCTGGTAGTGCTAGGCGCACTAGGCTTTAGTTGGCAAATGTACTGCGTTCAAGATAATCGGCTTTATGTCCCTTTCTGTCGAACCGGCCATGCGATGTCACAGACGCACGAGCCTGTGGCAATCACATTGCTGAGCCTCGGCGCAATTACAGAAGGTGATGCACATGGCTCTCAAGTATTCGTTCTTTCTGTCGGGAGCGGAACCTGTCAGCGGCGAGGTACGGCGGAAGCCGCTATTCATTGAAGTTCTTTCGCGGGACAAGCCGTGAGGAACTCTTGGGCTTTGTCCAGGAAGTGCTACAGATTGGGGAGGCTGGATGGGGCAGAACTGCAGACCCCTCTACATGAAACTATGTTCCTATTAAGAGCTATAAAATGGGCATGCCAAGTATATAGTGCTCCTAGAGGGCGCGGGATACAGGCAATTAGGCTTCTACATTAGATTAGATGATGCCTCTGTCCCTGGTTGGGCACAGGTTCCGGCTCACCGGATTCGATTCATCGACAGCGACGGCTTGATCGTCCTTCTGAACAGTTTCGTACCCTCGGACACGGCGGGGATAAGCACATGATGAAAGACTGCCCTAAACCTCAAACCGTTCAGGATTTAGGGTTTTTGGGAATGTCAGGTGCTCAGAGTGGAGCTAGACACCACCATGGACGAGCTCGTCCTGCAGCGAGCCGCTGTCCCAGAGAAAAGATAGCAAACACCACTCGAACTGTTTGAATTGACTTGATGTACGCGGTTCGTTCGGATTGTTGTATCTAGGAAGAAAACGTCCATGCCGCAGTGGCTACTATCCACAGTTCTGCAAGCTGCATGGGAGGTCAGCCCTGATGCTTCTGATGGCTTGCAACGCAGCAGCACGTGCAGTCACTGTGAAGTTCTAGTCGCAAGAAGTTCGTTGTATGCACGTACTGCCTGACTGTCTGGGGCTGACAGGCAATTCCTGCTGCACGAGCTGCACTCTGTGGAGGACCATGACCCTACTGCTTGCAACACCCGATCCTCTGACCGGTTCAAGCTTAATATCCAAAAGCTTCTGCACCCCAAACGACTAGCGGCTAGCCCACAGGAGGTGCTACGCAGTGCGGCCCTTAAGCGCCGACGTCTCCAGGCAGAGAAGCCGATGAGGTGATGCAATAAAGTCGTAGTCGTTGCTTGTCATGCTGTCAGTGTCGGTGTGGGTCTTCTTCGTCTTGTCCTTCATGTCGCGTTTGCTCTGAATCCTGCTTTTTACGGAAATTGCAAATTCTCTCTCTCTCTCTCTCTCGCCCTCTCTTCCTCTGTCTCTCTCTCTCTCTCTTGCTAGCGGAGCTTCTGACTGCCGCAACCATCTGTGATTCTGCTACACATCTCGGTTTTTGGTGTCATCATCCTCATCGCTGTTCGAGTTGTTATCGCTATGGATAATTACAGTGAGTGGACGAGATCTTGCAATTTTTGGGCGCCCTGCAGCATCAGACCTGCACCCCTCGCTGTAACAGGCAGCGTCACGAAGAGCTTTGGGGGGATCATGTCTTGAATACAAGAGCTGAACTCCCATATTCGATATGGGTAGTTCTCTAAATTTAGGGCCCCTTTGTAGGTCCCCAATATATAGTACGGCACCCTTATCAAAAGGACCGTGAAAGGGACCATAATTTAGAGAACCACCCATATGATGGTTCCGAAAGTGCCGCAAGATTTGCTGCAGTAGTATGATCATGAGGAATTAGCTGGGACGACTAGTAGAACTGGCAGTGTGGTAGCAGTTGTACTGGTTTCTCGTAGTAGCTGCAATACTACTCCTACTATTGCGAGTGTTCGATTTTACACTTCATTGCGCCAGCGACGACGACCACAACTGCCACGCCTGCTACCACCACCACTACTTTGACGACGACGACTACTACGATCTCTACGACGACCACAACCACGACTATGGCTGTTGTTCCCAGGGTTGTTGTGTTTGCCTGCAACACTATTGCTTGACAAAACTATCATTATAAACCAAAAGCCCTGACCCCTAAACCCAAACCCCTAAACACAAACCCTAACCCTTAAACCCTAACCCCTGAACCCTAAACCCTACCCCCTAAACCCTAAACCCCCACTCAACCCACAGCTTGCCTGCAGGATCTTGTGGGCCCTGCACAAGCACAGCGGCTCGCGGGGGCCTTCAGAGAGGAAAAAGGGTCGGAATAGTAACCAGTAGCTAAAAACAGTATCCCGTTATTTTCGTCCCTAAGAGTATCCCTTTATAGTCCCATTTGAGAGCAACTAGAATTAGTATCCCCTTATAGTCCCAAGGTGAGAGTAACTAGAATGGTATCCCTTAACAGCGCCTAGGTGAGAGTAACTAGTAATAGTATCCCCTAATAGTCCCTAGGTGAGATCCAAACTGCTCGGACTTGACATTGAGCTGCACCGCCAGACTACTTCGGACTCACAGCGGGCAGTTGCAAACCGCAGCCCGAGGTCTTTAGAACGGACCTTCCGATCTACATTCGCTGCTTGGTTGGCCTAGTCCAGTTCATGTATCGTGTTGAGTGACCTTCCACAATATTCCAAATTGCTTCCGAGGCCAGAAGATTTTCGAGTGTCTTCTCGTGAAGGAGACAGTTCGATTGCCAAACGACTCTTGGCCCGATGTTCTCGCAGTTCTTGAAGCTGGCACAGGCTTGTTTTAGCATGCATCATGTGGCTGCCGAGCTCAACAATCTGCGGTTCATCAAGGTGTGCCGAAGCTTCTTGGCTTTCTGCACCACAGAAGGCAGATCCCTTTCTGGAGTGAGTCGATTCTTGGTGCGGCATCAGCTGTATAGCCTCCTGGAGATCAGGGCGCCGGGTAATTCCGGTAATCGACGACCGCGCCCTTCGGGGCGGTCCAGTGGCTGCACGGCGGCTGGCGCGCTTGGTGCACCCTTCCTTCATCTACATGGCCCCTCGGCCTCGCAAAAAACTCTTGGCGTTGGGCTGTTTAGAGGCGTGTGGCTCTCAAGCCGAGGTTGCTGTGAAGGATCACGGTGAGGCGGCCTGTGCCTTTCTGGAAGCCATCCTCAGCGAGTGCCCTTCCGAGCTCAATAGCCTCACACGCATCATGGTCAAGAACGCTCGCTTCGTCTCGGCACCTCGGCCTAGCTGGCACGACTCACGTGAGCGGAGTGCACGTGTGACAGAGGGGAGAGCCGAGGCAACGCTCCTGATCCGATTGCTGAAGAGGGCGGCAAAGCTGAACGAGGCGAAGACATCATAATCCGGAGCTTCTTTGCGTTCTCAATTTCTCAATCTTACAAACGGAGGTGAAAATCCTTACACGCCTGGATCGGCCGCTGCCGGCAGAGTGTCTGCGGAGCGTGGAGAGTCTTTCTGCATTGGCGGGCTGCTCAGTTTCAAGTCCCGTCGACCCATGTGCCGGTGCTTGCTCGGCCTGCCTGCCTCTGGAGAAAACTCTTCATCACATGAATCGCATGAAGATGGGATTGGTGATGATGGTGGTGATATACAGACGGAAGAAAAATCTGATAATGATGGCAAAGATCACACAGATGACGAAGATAATCTTAAGGGCCTCGTCGGATCAAAGACTGCTTGGTGTCGGATCTCGGCGAGTCTCGGCCTTTGCAAGACCTCCACAGTCCAGCTTCCCGCAGGTGCTCCATTCCACTGAAGTGGTGGGTTTCTCATCGCTCTTCACCGCCGGTCCTTTGGCTGCCACTTGGCACAACTTAAGGGCCTTGGTGAGGCAGGGAGCCGGAATTTCCCCCCCCCCCCCCCCCCCNNCCTAAACCCTAACCCCCCCCCCTCTGAGAGGCCTTGCGCTTCGTCCAGATTGTGGACAGCCCCCACTTGAACTTTGACATGCTTCTGGGCACTTTCACGTCCCCATGCCCCACGGGCGTCCACGTTCAGCATCTGCAGGCAGCCTCGGATCTGCCGAGGAAAAAAGCTGGCAGTAAGGAGTTTTATTGTTTCGGGCTGAATATAGGGGCCTTAATAATTAACTGTAGGGTTTGGGGGGGTACAGTCTATATTAATTCTAAGAAGGAGCCCCCAAAACCCCTATTCTAATTCTTAAGGCCCCTACATTAGGGGTTATTATGACTTATGTGGGCTTCATCCCTAAACCTTTTTTGGGGCTTCCGGAGGTCTCCCCGAGCTCCGATGAGCCGCAAGACCGGCACTGGAGCCAGTGGGTTCAGCCCTTGGCAGACCTCTTGCAAAGCCCCGACCTGAGGGTCTCACCGGAAGCTACCCAGAGAGCCCAATTTCAAAATACCCCTTAAATAAGGAATATAGACCTTAAATGATAGTATCAAGGCCCCTAGAATTTAAGGTATATTCCTTATTTAAGGGGTATTGGGCTCTCTGGGTATCGCTCCTAGATGGATGGATGGATCGCAGATAGTCCTTGCCCGCTGTCAGATAGTCAGATAGTCCTTGTCCGAGGCCCTAAACCCTAAACCCTAAACCCTAAACCGTAAACCCTAAACCGTAAACCCTAAACCCTAAACCCTAAAACAAAAACCCTAAACCGAGGCCCTCCCATGGCTGCCTTGGTCCAGCTGGACGTTCCGGTGCCCTCCTACTCCGTGACGGCGGCTGAGACCGCCAGGGCATTGCTCGAGCGCCTGCAACAGAGGCGCCTGCCCCGGGACCTTTCGAGGCTCCGATTCCTTCCCTACAAGAAAAACTGTCACTCTTCCGCTGGCTTCGGCAAGGCTTTCTTCCGTGGTGTCTTCTTGTCGTCTGTCATACGCAATGTCATACATAAATACATCTTCTTAGAAGCTCCTCTCTCTCTCTCTCTCTGTGGCGTGTTGTCTCGGATGCAAGGCGACGCTTTTGTGTCGCGTCCGACCTTTCCTCAGATGGAGACCGTGATCGAGATCCAAGAGATTCTGGGCAAGTACAGGTAGGGCCTTCCTGTGTCTGCTTGATCATACATGTATACCATACATATGTGTATGTGTATATGTATAT